AGCGACTCCACGCGAGGTGCCATTGGCTGAGCGTCGGCATGACGCGCTTGGGCGTCGCCTTCGCCCCCATGGCCTCGCGCGAGGAAATAGGCGCGGCGCGAGCGCGCGCGACGGTGAGGCGCTGCGCCTGTGCTAAGTTGTTCAGGTCCTCCGAAAGCTTGGCTTCGTCTTCGTCGGCATCGCGAAGCGCCCCGGCGAGGTGCTGCGGCAGCCACCTGGCTAGCTTCACGTTGACGAAACCTTTTTCGACGCCGCGCTTCCGAAGCTTGGCCACTTCGCTGGCAAGCTCATCCACGAGGTCGGAGCTACGCCGCAAGTGTCGCGCGCAAGATGGCGCGCGCTCCCCGCCGTGGCAAGCCGCGCATCGCCTGGGCAGGAGGTCGCTGGGCAAGCCTTCGAGGCTCGCGGTCTTGAGCGTGGCACAAATGTCCACGTGGGCCGCCGCGGGCGCCTGCGACGCGACGTACGCGACGTCGCGCGGCGGCGGGCGCGCGCTGTCGCGTCGACAAGCCTCGTCCTTCTTTTGGAGAAACGCGAGGAGGGCGGCACTGGCGTCCCCGCTGGCCGATCCCGCGGCCGTCTGCAGCTACTTCATATCACCCTGCGCGCGAGCGTGCACGCGCGCGCCGCTCGCGCCGCGCGGGAACGCCGGCCTTCTCGCGCCCGGCCAACTTGATGGCCGCGCGGACGCAGCGCTTCTTGCCGCCATCCAGATCGGCATTCTGGAAGCGGAAGTCCTCAAACTTGGCCCCGGCCAGCTCTGAGGGCACGGTGATGCTCTCGGCTGCCAGCGCCGCTGCGACCGAGTCGAACCAGGCGGCCTCCTGCGCGCCCGCCCCCTCGACGCGCTGGAGAAAAGCGCGAACGGTCTCCAGCGCGGCTTCGGCCATCGCGAAGCAGTGCGTTGCGCGCGCGCGCACAGCACAAGACTCAGCCGTTGCTGCGCTTGACGCTGACGGAAAGGTGACGCGACGACGCGAAGGGGGCGCCCACGCTGCGGCGCAGGCCGCATTGGCCGCGCGTGGCCGCTCTGGGCCGACGGACAATAAGCGCCCGCAAAATGCCAAGCCGTAGTGGCCTGCACCAGAGCCACTGAGCGCTGGGGCCGAATGGGCCCGCGCGTTTGTGAGGGCCGATTTGGCCCCGCACGGCCACTTGGGGCCGACGGGCAATATGCGCCCGTGCGAAAGCAAGCCGTATTGGCCTGCAGCGGCGTATGAAGCCGGTTGGGTCCAGGAGCAGCCAGACGCTTGGGCCGACTGGGCCCGCGCACCTGCGAAAGCCGTATTGGGCCCGCATGGCCACGTGGGGCCAACGGACAATATGCGCCCGTATAATGACAAGCCGTATTGGCCTGCGCCGGAGCATTTGCGAGGGCCGTATTGGCCCCGCACGGCCACTCGGGGCCGACGGACAATATGCGCCCGTGCGAAAGCAAGCCGTATTGGCCTGCACCAGCGTTGGAAGCCGACCGGGTGCAAGAGCAGCCAACAGCTTGGGCCGACTGGGCTCGCACACCTGCGAAAGCCGTATTGGCCCCGCATGGCCACGTGGGGCCGACGGACAGCATGCGCCCGTATAATGACAAGCCGTATTGGCCTGCGCCGGAGCACTTGCGAGGGCCGTATTGGCCCCGCACGGCCACTCGGGGCCGACGGACAATATGCGCCCGTGCGAAAGCAAGCCGCATTGGCCTGCACCAGCGTTGGAAGCCGACCGGGTGCAAGAGCAGCCAACAGCTTGGGCCGACTGGGCTCGCACACCTGCGAAAGCCGTATTGGCCCCGCGTGGCCACGTGGGGCCGACGGACAGCATGCGCCCGTATAATGACAAGCCGTATTGGCCTGCGCCGGAGCACTTGCGAGGGCCGTATTGGCCCCGCACGGCCACTTGGGGCCGACGGACAATATGCGCCCGTGCGATAGCAAGCCGTATTGGCCTGCACCGGCGTTGGAAGCCGATTGGGTGCAAGAGCGCCAACTGCATGGGCCGACTGGGCCCGCGCACCTGCGAAAGCCGCATTGGCCCCGCATGGCCACGTGGGGGCGACGGACGATATGCGCCCGTGTGGGGACAAGCCGTATTGGCCTGCGCCAGCGAAGGAACCAAGAGGGCCCCAGAATTGCCAGACGAGGAGCAGGTGGCGCACACAACGCGCGAGAAGCCACGCGGGCAAGCGAGCGCGCGAGGAGACCAGCCGAGAGAACGCGCGAGGGCGGAGCCAGAGCGCGGGCCAGCCCACGCCAGAGGGAAGTCCTGACCTCGATCGAGCCAGCAAAACAGACGAGGGGATCTTGTCGAAGAGGAAGATGGATGCACCTGCGCCTGGCGGAGGAGGGAGCGAGGAAGGAACCTGCACAGGGAGAAGAGAGCGGCGACCGGCGCGCGCGCGCGGCGGCGAACGCCCCGACCGCCGGCACCCACGACGCGACGCCCACGACGCACCGAAGGACAGCCGCGACACGACCAGCCAGACGCCCCCGACAGGAAGCAAAGCAGCCAGGAGGGCAGCCACGACAGACGGCCACGACACGGCGACCAACAAGCCACGACAAGCAGCCAGGACACGACACGACAAGCAGCCACGACACGACGGGCAGCCACGACCGCGAAAGCGCGCGCGCCGTCCGCCACGGCGGGACGCAAGCGCACATGCCTGCGAGATGCAAGCACCAATGCCTGCACATCGCACGACCCCGAGGCGCGCCGCGAACCGCCCCGACGCGATCCCCGCGGCGCGCCTGCACGGGGCGTTCGACGCAAAGCGAGCAGAAGAGCAGACTAGCCACGCGCGTGACGACGCACCCCCCTCGCGCGCGGGCCCTTCGCGCGGGGCCGCGCGCCGCGAGGCGCGCGCCGTCGCTCCCCCCCCCCCCTCGCGCGCGCAGGCCCTTCGCGTGGGGCCGCGCGCCGCGAGGCACATGCTGACGCCCCCCCGCCTCGCGCGCGCGGGCCCTTCTCGTGGGGCCGCGCGCCGCGCGGCGCAGGAAAGCGGGAGGCGGCCCGCGCGCCCAGCTTGCCCGCCCGCGCGCGGGCCAGGCGCGGGCGCGAAATTTGTGCCCGCGCACAACGCAGCACAAGCGAGCGCGCGCGCTTTCGATGGCGTTGGGCGCCCACTTCAACATTTGGGAACCTGCAGCAATGCACAGCCGTGCCTAGATAGTATCCTGGACGTTTGGGTCACTGATCTCGAAGAGGCCGTGGTGGTACGCCAGATGTGGCGTCCAGGAACGTCTTAAGGCATTGCCGCTCTGAGCATGGATTGCCCGATTGGCCTTACGACGAACACCGACCCTGAGTCGGATGTTCGTTGACGGGGGGGCGGCAAGCGGGGAGCCTCTTGGGGGCCTCCCAAGCGCCACTCGGGGCATCCTGGGAGCCTCTTGGGGCGGAAGGCTCGGATTTTCGGTTCGTGTTCCCTCTCTTGGGCCAGTTTTAGGGCCGTCTTGGGGCTCTATTGGGCCGCCTGTTGGGCCATCTTGGGGCGCTCTTAGGCTGTCTTGGAGCCCTCTTGGCGAGAAGAAGCGTGCAAACTTCGTCCACCTCGTGGGCCCGCGGTGGCCATTCGGGCGCCATTCACGGCCCCCTCGGGGCCACTTTCCTGCCGTCCTCGATCACCCCCCCCCGTGCACTGCCCCCCCCCCGTTGCCGTCCGCCCAACTCAGAGCGGCGAAGTTTCCCAGAGTTCCTAGCACAGACTGGTCGTCGTCGTCGTCGTCGTCGTCGTCGCCGTCGTCGTCGTCGTCGTCGTCATCATCAGCGTCAGCGTCGTCGTCGCCGTCGCCGCCGTCTTCGTTGCCGTCGCCGTTGCCGTCGTCGTCGTCGCCGTCGTCGTCGTCTCTGTCTCTGTCTTTATCTTTGTCTATGTCTTTGTCTTCTTTGTCGCCGCCGCTGCCGCCGCCGTTGTTGCCGGCGCCGCCGCCGCCGCCGCTGACACGTCCCTCGATCGGGCTGATCCAGCGCCTGCTGCCGCTCCCGAAACCCCTCGGCCGACGAACACGACCTCGATCCGTCCAGAGCGCAGAACTCCGCGAATCGAAAGTGTCCCAGATCGCCCCCCCCGTCCCCCTCCAGAAAGGACCCTTCGGAAGCTGGGCGAAGGCTGGCAAATCCGTGGCTGCTAAAACGGCCTTCCCAAGGAAAAAACACATTCCCAGAATAAGCCTCAGCGCGCTAAGTAGCAAACGGGCTGCTTCCCGGAAGACAGGAACAAATTTCCCAGAGCTCCGTTTTAGCAGCCACGGATTTGCCAGCCTTCGCCAGGCTTCTGAACCTTTAACCCTTTGGGAGGGGACCTAAGTTAGGATGACCAGAAATTTAGGGATAGGGGCTCTTTTCTGCAGGTGTATCGGACCAAACCACCCAGAATTAGTATCCCTAGTGCAGGGGCGGGGCCCTCAGTGAGGCCACGTCTTCATTGTGTTATCAGGGTTCGAGTTTTTTGTTGGTCTCGATGATCCTGGCTCCCCATCGCTCGGACGCCCATTCCCAGTGCATTTTTGGATTTCGTGTGTTTACCTTTTTCCCCCCAGGATGGTCTCAAGAGGCTTCTCGAGGGTCCTCGCCGAGGGAAGAGACGCACACACGTCCAAGCGACGCCAAGCTGGTCGACAATCGATGGACCAGCGAGCCACGACCGCGCAGAGCCAGACTGTCATTCCGCGGCCCGGTCGCCCCTCGCCCGCGCTGCTGCCACGCCCACCCCGCGGAAACGTCGGGAGGGGCAGCGGCGTGCTGCCAGGATCAAGGTTCGTGACGATCCCCGCTGCTTCCCAGAGTGCCCAAACCTTCCATCGAGGCCCCCAGCATGTCACGTAAACTAGAAATAAAGCTTCGAAACGTAATGTCTTCGGTATTGCGACATGAACAAGCGGCCAGCCTCATTGGTTGAACCATGCTGTTACCCTTGCCACGCTCATAACTCACAGACCACGTTCACACTCTTGACGGCCAAGCCTTGTGCCTAACACTAGAAGCCCAGTATGTAAGCGCGTCATGTCCTGGTGGACGAAGACATTCGCATTGTGAATCTTGTATTGGTTCAGCACTGAGCGCACTGTCTCCTTCGGGCTAAGCCAAAGAAAATCCGCTATCACAGTCATCCTTCAGAGAATTCACCTCGCCTGTCGAGGATCAGGATGTGTGCAACCTCTCTGTAGGAACTACATTCCCACACGAAGCGAATTACGAACGGCTGCTAGCAAATGAAAGCGCAGTCTCCTGGAAGCACATGTGCTCTTTCGGACGCGCAGAGGCGGCACAACCACCACACAGAACACTGAACGAAACCATTCGCTAGTCATCAACGCCATGACCCCTGAGCTTGCAATGTCAAATGGCAGTGCGCAACAACACACGCTGGCTGCATGCACACCTGGTAACGCAAACCCAATTGCAACCTCCTACCTAGCGCTCGCACGTTTTCTGAACTTTCGGTCTATGGGCACACGCAGCCAACCATACATAGCGGTCCATGCGTAGAGGCAACACATACGAAGTATACTGAAGCGCACGAACGTATATTTCGCAAAGAAGCTAGTGTACGAAGGCCTTCTTCAGACTGCATCTTCGCACCACTGCTAAACGTGCCACATCCGTTAAGGACATGCCCGTCTACTTTCTGGAGCAAGCGCTGGTGAGCGCGTCGTGCCACAACCCAGCCACAACAACAACAAGCCCCATTGCGGGGCCATCAGGCTGCGCGGCTTAGTCCACTGCTCCTTGGAGGAGGAGGAGTCGGAGGGGGAGGAGGAAGAGAATGATGATGATGATGAGGAGGAGGAGAAGGAGGAGGAAGAAGAGGCCAGGTCAGATTTTTTCAGTCCCCAAGGTTACAATGCTACTTTCTGCTTCCATTTGAAGATTGTTATTGCCCGCGCGAGGGGAGGCGGACCGACAACCAGCCCGGCCACCGTCCCCCCCCCCTTAGTTCCCAGAGTTCCCTGAGGGCCCAAAAGGACAGAAGCCTTCGCGCTTCACGCACGACTCGCGCCCCTGAGGCCAGAATCCTGCACGACTTGTACCAGGGTCGCGCTCCTGAGGATCGAATCTTTTCCAAATGACGCCAAGTTCGCGCTCCCAAGGCCAGAATCCTTCGTACACTACGCCAGCTTCGCGCTCCAGAGGCCAGAATCCTTTGACAATTACGCCGGATTCGCGCTCAAGCGGCCATCATCCCTCGTACATGACGCGCGACTCGCGCTCCCGAGGCCAGAATCCCGAAACAAATTCGCCAGGTTCGCGCGGGGAACGCAGCACCAAGAAACAACAGCGTGTTCCCTAAGAGCCCCACCATCTCACTCTGTTTTGTCGATTCCTATCCGCCCCCGCATGATGCTCCCAAATGGCTTCAAGACAACGCCCAGGCACCCCGACGCGGCTCTGATATCTGCCGTTCTGATCGAGCAGTGGCCGGCGGCAGAGGGCAAGAACCCTTCCGGATCATACGACGGCATGTGCACCGAGCGAGTTTGGACAGCAATTCGCGTCCTCATCCAAGCCTTGGGTGAGCGGGACGGTGGTGGTGAATTTCACCCCGCCGCCTCGGCAACTGAAGGGTCCAGAGCGGGAGACAGACGACGCACATCCGCCTCCCTTCGCGGTCCTGAGGGCCGCCATCCGCTCGCCTTTTGCCACACTCTCCTCTGCCTTCTCCCGATATCCCCCCTGCTTTCAGAATCACGCAGAGGACACAACGAAACCACATCGAGTGGATGCACGCTCCGAGAACGTATCTGGGTCGAGGTGGCGCTTCGAGTGACCCCGCCTGGCTCTGCGCAGCCTTCGCAAAATCCCGCGCAACCCTCGAGGCAACGCCTTGCTGCACAAACAGTGAAAGTGATTTCACTTCAAGGTGTAGTTCCTCAATCTTATCCGCGCGGTCTTGCGTGGGCCCACCAGCTCGAAGATCCAACTGTCCACGAGAGCACGTCTTAACGGTGAATTAAGTCGGCAGCGTGGTGTCGATAGCGTAGTGTCAACAGCGTAGTGTCAACAGCGCAGTGTCGACAGCGTAGCGTCAACAGTGTAGTGTAAACAGCGTAGTGTCAACAGCGCAGTGTCAATAGCGTAGTGTCAACCAACAGCGTAGCAACAGCGTAGTGTCAACAACGTAGTGCCAACAGCGTAATGTCAACCAACGGCGTAGCAACATCGTAGTGCCAACAGTGTAGTGTCAACAGCGTAGTGTCAACAAACGGCGTAGCGACGGCATGGTAACAACAGTGTAGTGTCAACAGCGTAGTGTCAACCAACGGCGTAGCAAGAGCGTAGTGTCAATATCGTAGTGTCAACAGCGTAGTGTCAACCAACGGCGTAGCGACAACATAATGTCAACAGTGTAGTGTCAACAGCGTAGTGTCAACAGCGTACTGTCAACCTGCATCGTACTGTCGACAGCGTATGGTCAGCGGCGCGAACCAACGGCATGGCGTGAAATCTGAGCGTACCGTCTTCAAACACCGTAATATCAACACCGTAATGTTCAACAGCGTAGTGTCAACAGCGTAGTGTCAACAGCATAGAGCCAGCAACATGAACCAACCGCGTAGCAAACAAACACCGTTGTAGCGTCGACCAACAGCGTAATATCAGCAGCGTAGCGCCAACGGCGTCATGTCAACAGTGTAGCGCCGTCGCGTCAACAGCGTCGTGTCAACAGCGCGGTGTGGCGTAGCAACAGCGCAGTGTCAACAGCGTAGTGTCAACAGCGTAGTGCCAACAGCGTAGTGTTGACAGCGTAATGTCAGCAAGTTAGTGTCAACAACGTGGCGTCACCAGCGTAGTGTCAACAGCGTCGTATCTACAGCGTAGTATCAACAGCGTAGTGTCAAAAACGTACTGTCAACAGCATCGTGCCAACAGCGTAGTATCAACAGCATGAACCAACAGCGTAACAGGAAATACGGGAGTAGCGTCGACCAGCAGCGTAGTGTCAACAGCGTAGTGTCAACAGCGTATGGTGAACAACGTACTTTAACCAGCGTCGTTTCACCAACGACGTGTCAAGTCAACAACGTACTGCCGACAGCGTAGTACCAACCAACAGCGTACTGTCGACCACGTAGTACCAACTGCGAACCAACGACATAACGAGAAATCGACGCGCACCGTCGAACAACAGCGTAGCGTCAACAACGCAATGTCGACAGCGGAGTGTCATCAGCGTCGTGTCAACAACGTAGTGTCAACATGCGCTCGCAGTACCAACGGCGCTGGTCCACATCGGTTGGCCTCTCGAAGGGGAGGGCCAGGCGGGAAAGTGAGGACAACGGCGATACGAGGGACTCGGATGGAAAGGACGGGCGGACAGTCGGAGGGTCAAACGTAGCAGCGTGCGGGCAGCGTACAACGTCTCCTCTTGCTGCCGACACCGTAGTGTCAACAGCGCTGTCAAATCTAGGAGCGTGCAAGAAGCGTGCAGCGTCTACTGTTAATGTCAACAGCGTGATGTCAACAACGCAGCGCAGTGTCCGAGGTACGAACGGGTACAACTAGCGTCCAGCGTCTGCTCTTAATGCCAACAACGCCTTTCAACGTCATCAAGATAGTGTCAACAGCGCAGTGCCAAATATTCAGGGGCGCAGGTTCTCTCCTCTCAATGCCAGGTGCCAGCTACGTACTACCAACAACGCACTGTCCACAGCGCAGTGTCAGATATTCAGGAGCGCAGAGCGTGCCCTTTTAATGCTAACTGCCAACAACGTAGTGCGAACAACGTCGTGTCAACAGCGCAGTGATACATATTAGAAGCGGGCAGTCTCTCCTCTTAATGCCAGCAACGTAGTGCCAACAACGGCGTGCCAACATCGCAGTGTCACACACTAGAAGCGTACAGTCTCTCCTCTTAGTGCCAACAACCTAGCGCCAACAACGTGGTGTCAACAGCGTAATATCACATGTTAGAAGCGTGCAGTCTTTCCTCTTGATGCCAACAACGTAGTGCCAACAACGTCGTGTCAACAGCGCAGTGATCCATATTAGAAGCGGGCAGTCTCTCCTCTTAATGCCAGCAGCGTAGTGCCAACAACGTCGTGTCAACATCGCAGTGTCACACACTAGAAGCGTACAGTCTCACCTCTTAATACCAACAACGTAATGCCAACAAAGTAATGTCAACAGCGCAGTCTCACAGACTAGAAGCACACAGTCTCCCCTCTGAACACCAACAATGTAGTAGTGCCATCAACGCAGTGCCAACAGCGCCCTGTCACATATTCGAAGCGTAGTCTTTCCTCTTAATGCCAACACGTAGTGCCAACAACGTAGTGTCAACAGCGCAGTGTCACACACTAGAAGCGTACAGTCTCTCCTCTTAATACCAACAACCTAGCGCCAACAACGTGGTGTCAACAGCGCAATATCACATGTTAGAAGCGTGCAGTCTTTCCTCTTGATGCCAACGACGTAGTGCCAACAACGTCGTGTCAACAGCGCAGCGTCACATATTAGAAGCGTACAGTCTCCCCTCTTAATGCCAGCAACGTGCGGCCAACAACGTAGTGTCAACAGCATAATGCCACACACTAGAAGCGTACAATCTCTCCTCTTAGTGCCAACAACGTAGTGTCAACACCGTAATGTTGATTCACCCGGCGTTACGTAGTGTCAACGGCGTGATGTGAATTCACTGTTGAAACTTCTAATTCACTGTTAAGAGGTACCTTGACTGTCCGCTGCTCCTTTGCGCGGGTCTGGGAACTATGGTAATGCATACTCGCGATCGCTGATGCCGCGGTTTGCTGTACGCAGATTTTGTTGTGGAGGGTTCCAGAGACTCTTCACCTCCCAACATGACATCTCTTAGATTATGATGTTTGCTTCCGCCAACTTCCGCAAGCTTTTTGCCGGCCAAGCCGCCCCCGTTTTACCCCCGCCGGCTTCCGGCGGCCTTCCGCCGAGGAAGAGATGCCAACTCCGTTGATCCTCGAAGGCGAGGCCCTTTCTGGTACGCCTCATGCGTACGAATATTTATGCGCGTGAGCGCACACTGAATGATGACATGTACGGTGTACGTGAGCATACATATCTATATATATGTGTATCTATATATAGATATAGATATGACTGTGGGGCCGCATTTCAAACTGGGCATTTTGCGGGGGCACACGTGTATACTCTTAAGATGTAGCCATAAATAGTCAGCGCAAAAAGTGTCAGCGTTAGTACATCCACGCATGTGTTACCTGAGTCTGGAGCTACCCCCATGGATCTGGATGCGACTCATCCGACTGCTGGACCGTCCAGACATCCGTACTCAACTCGTCAACAGCCATTGGAACTTTCAAGATACGGCGGGCAAATGGATCATCATACCGTTGGAGAAGAAACTACTGTGCGGCTTCTACCTTTCCCATTGAGGCTAGACTTGTCAAGTGCTGTGACACCGCAAAGAAGCAATGGCATAGCATTTCTGCTTCCGTCGAGGCTGTCCTCTGCCTTCTTTCAACACTGTGTCTTCCCGTTGTATGATGGACAAGCGTAGCCGTGGGAAAAGCGAACTTTCTGAGACATGACAAAGGGGGCGTCATCAGAGCAGTGTGCGCAAGCCTTTGGTCACGTAGTAGGAGATGTCTGGGGGCTTCTTGTTAATGCGGATGCCGATCATCTCCAACTCTTTCGTCAACATCGCCTGTGATGATGCGAGCTGTCTGCTGCTGCAGGCATGAAGCCCAAGTGTCGTGGCTCGACGTAACCGCCTCAATCATCAAGACAAAGTGTTGTGGGGCT